GCTCCAGCACCGTCTTGTGCTGGTCTCCTGGTTCTGCTTCTGCCGTTTCTCTGCTGCTTCCATCTCTCTGATGCTGCTTCTCGCCATCTGTGCTGTCTCCAGTGTAACAGATCTCATTTCCTTGTGAGTCCTCGCCAGAATTGTCTTTGATGTCCATAATTCTCTTTAAAATAATCTAGGCTTTTACTATTAGGCACTGTCATTGATTGAATTGTATCCCCCCAAAATAGCTGTCAACTTGGCTGGGTCATGATTCCCAGTATTGTATGATTGTGTACCATTTTGTAACCTGATGTGATTTCCTTATGTGTTGTAAATTTAATCACTATGCTCCAATAAGATGGATTAGCGGCAGTTATACTGATGAGGTATACAAGATTGGGTAGGGTCTTAAGCCAATCTCTTCTGTGATATAAAAGAGAGAAGTGAGCAGAGACACATGGGAACCTCACACCACCAAGAAAGAAGCACTGGGAGCAGAGCTCGTCCTTTGGACCTGAGGTTCCTGTGCTGAGATGCTCCCAGACCAAGGGAAGACTGATGCATCACAAGGACCTTCCTCCAGAGTCAACAGAGAGAGATAGCCTTCTCCTGGAGCTGATGCCCTGAATTTGGACTTGTAGCCTACTGGACTGTGAGAGAACAAACTTCTCTTTGTTAAAGCCATCCACTTGTGGTATTTCTGTTAGAGCAGCACTAGATGACTAAGACAGGCACTTTAAAACTCTTCCAGCCTCTATTCATTCACAGTTTCAAAACTGCTTCCACATTTTAAGTTACCTGTCAGAGCAGTATCCCACTCTCTCAGTGCCAAATTCTGTCTTAGTTACCTAGTACTGCTATAACAGAAATACCGTAAATGGATGGCTTTAAGAAAGAGAAATTTATTCTCTCACAGTCTAGGAAGCTAGAAGTCTGGATTCAAGGTGCCAGCTCACTGGAAGGTTTTCTCTCTCTGTTGCCTCTGGGGGAAGGTCCTTGTCAGGTAGTTACGTGATGATGTAATTTGACAGTTATGTAATAATGCAATTTGGCAGTTGTGTAATGATATAGTTGTCATCCTCCATTTTGTGATCTGTGTGGTCATCCTCCATTTTTGCATAACACCACTTTTTGCATAACAACCTGGTCTTTGAAACCAAACCATGTCGATAAGTGAGGAGTGGGTGTGTATGTATATATATAATATATATATACATATATGGAGCCCTGGTGGCACAGTGGTTAAAAGCTACAGCTGCTAACCAAAAGGTCAGTAGTTTGAATCCAGCAGCCAGCTCCTTGGAAACCCTATGGGGCAGTTCTACCCTGTCCTATAGGGTCACTATGAATTGGAATCAACTCAACAGCAACAGGTTTTTGGCTATATGTATACATATATATATCTCTCTGTGCCTCAGTTTTAGTTATATGTATACATATATATATATATATTTCTCTGTGAAACAATGTAAATAATAATGACTTCAAAGAGTTGTAAAGATTATGTTAGAATATAAATTTGTTTCATGAGACTGAGGAGCAGGAAACATCGCATTACCTAAATTTTCTAAATTAAATTTGGCCCTAAATCCCCATTTACTAGTGGTAAGACACCAAATATTGGTCATTAATAGAGGCTCTTTACCCTCTTGGAGCCCTGGTGGCACAGTGGTTTTAAGAGTCAGCTGCTAACCAAAAGACTGGCAGTTCAAATCCACCAGCTGTTCCTTGGAAACCGTACAGGGCAAACCCTGTAGGGTTGCTATGAGCCGGAATCAACTCAACAGCAATGGTTTTGGTTTTTACCCTCTTATTGTGGTATACACTGTCACACACACACACAAAACAACTTAGGAAAGAGGCTCTTGTCTTCAGTCTGTCATGGTTGCTAATGGGATGTGTATTGTCCAAACCCGTATGGTCCATTCAAAGGCAGGTGGCTCTACAGCGCCTCTGCCAAGTGTGTGCACCAACATCTTTTGCTGCAGTTTCCAAGACAATGGTGCTAAATGCTTACTTAGCACCCCAGCCATCAAATCAGTTCTCCCCATCAAAGTCCTAGGGAACTTCTATACAGGACCCACCCTGCCACTCATGGAACCCATCATCACATCTCTTTTCTCAAGTCCCTGGACCCACTGCTATCCTTGAACAACTTCTCGTCTTTCAACCAGCACCTCCTTCATCTCCTCCTTCTCCAGAACATCCAGCGGAATTAAATTCCCCTCCCACACAAGAGCCTCCATAAAGTTGTTGAATAGGTGTTTTGCAACTTCAGTTTGGGGCCCAGAAACACAAAAACCATTCACAATTCCCTGAGAACAGAAACCCAGAATTCCTGGAATATAGGAGAAGAAAGTTACCTTTTTATCCTACTTTCTCCTCTGGCAGGGAGTAGGAGACAGGAATTAATAACTTGGTAAATTATGCTACCAGAAATTTAAATTAACTAGCAAAGAGTAAGTATTTCATGTTGCCTTCTCTATTTCCCACCAGGTCCCAACTTACCTTCTCCATCCAAACATAGCAAACTTAAATACCCCAGGCAGATAATAGAAATGAATAAAATATATAAGAAAACAAAATCATAGGCATAATAACAAATAGCAATTAGCCCTTCACCTTGCATTAACAATAAGACATGGTGAGAACTGTGGTGAACTGGAAAGCACATATCCACCCCAAAGGGAGCAACTGCTATTTATCTCCAAATGGTATTTATGGGAATGCAAATACAGTCTTGCCAGATTTTAAGCTGGAAATGTGGATTATTATGTATAATCTACTGATTTTAAAATGTTGGCTACTTGTTCAAGTTTAAAAAAAACAAAAACGAAAACACTGTTGATCATTTTAAGTCATATATTACCTATCAGTGGGTCATCTTTATGCCCTTCTATGGTTTCAGCTGCTACATATATGCTGCTAGCTGTCAACTGTATATCTTCCCCATAGACTGTTCTCTCAAGCTTCTGATCTATGTACCTAACTGCCTCCTGCATAGCCTTACCTTGAAGTGTCACCAAACGAAAAACCAAAGCAAACCCACTGCCGTTGAGTCAATTCCAACTCATAGTGACCCCTATAGGACAGAGTAGAACTGCCTCACAGGGCTTCCAAGGTTGTAACTCTTTACGGAAGCAGCCTGCCACATTTTTCTCCCACTGAAGTGTCACAGGAACCTCAAATTCAAATGTCTAAATGGAACCCATCATCCCACCCTAAATTATTTACCAGGTCTGTATTCCCTATCTCAATAAAATCGCACCAACATAACCCAGTTTCTCAAGTCAGAAACCCTGGAGTCATTTCTTAACTCCCTTTCTCCCCTACCTCCATCCAAGTAACCAGTCTGATCAATTACATTTCTAGAATTCTACTTTAATCTATTCTTCTCCATTCCCACTATCATTGCCTTAGTTCAGGCCTCCTCTTTTGTTTTTCCTAAACGAAAGCGAGTCTCCTAACTAGTCTCTTGCCTTCAGTCTCTTTGCCCTCACTATAGCCTGTGGTTTCTTTCCAAGATGCAAACCTGACCTTGTCACTTCCCTGCTTAAAACTTTTCAATGGTTCTCCATCACTTTCAGGATAAATTTCCAACTTCTCAGTCTGGTATTCGGGGCTCTTTGTAATCTTGACTTTCCAGGTTCATCTATCAATTCCCCCATCTAATACTACAGCCACACTAAAATACTTTCAATCTCTCTAATGGTCTTTCTCTGCCCTAGCACCCTTAACCCAGGCTGTTCCTACTGCTCTTTCTCTCGCTTCCTATACTAAACCCTCGCTTTCTTGGCTCCTCAAACCAAGCATTAATCACCTTCTCTGGGAAATATTGCCTGACAAGCAACCTCCTTTCCAGGCTGGTTATATACCCCTTCTCTGCTCCCATACTACCCTGTGCATATCTCTATTCTAATTGTTTATTATTTGACTGTTTCCTCCACTGAAATGAGACCCATTTTAGGACAGAGACTCTCTCTTATTCATTTCTATCTCTTCAAAACTGAGCACACTACCTGATCTATAATAGGTACTAAGTAAATGTATGTTGAATGAATGAATGAATGAATGAATGAATGAATCCAGTCAAACTCATGGTACCAATGGAGAAACTTTTCTTGCCCAAGATCACATGGCCAATCAGTAACAGAGCTAGAGAACCCAAGTCTTCTCACTTTCAGTTAAGTGCTCTTTTTACCAAACGAGGCTGCCTTAGATGAGGGTGGGGGGATGGCCAAGCTGTTAAACTGTAGTGGGAAGGCAGGCATTGAAGTCTGTCCCTGAAAGGAAGGGTTGACATGTAACAGAATAGTAGTTTTAGGAAAAAGAGGGACAAATAATGAGAAATTGTCTAGCACATTTGTCATCTTTAATCTGAATGCTTCCCAAAAGGATCTCAGGCAACCTAAAGTCAAATAAGATAGTTCACAACTGACATCAGCATAAAAAAGAGAGGCTATGCCCCATCTATAGGGTCGCTATGAGTCGGAATCAACTCGACAGCAATTGCCTTTTTTTTTTTAAATACCCCATCTATTAATGATGGAATAAAGACCATAATTAGGAATCTGAGTAGACTTATAAAATTTTAATATAGCATACACTATGAACCAGGCACTATTCTAAGCATATGTATTTATTCATTTAATCCTAAAAACAACTGTATGTGATAAGTAATAATATTATCCCCATCTTATAGATGAAAAAACTGAGGCATTGAAAGATTAAGTAATTTGAGGTTTCACAGGTAGGAAATGGCAGAGCCAGAATTTGAATAAGGCAGTTTGATGCCAGAATCCATGTCCTTAACCACATTGTCTGAAGCATAATTCTGACCTTCTTGCCAATCAAGACAAAAGCGGGTCACCAGGTTTCACTGTATGAAGTTGACTTGTCTGGTGGAGGCAATTTATTTGGCCCTAAATTCAGGGAGGAGATTGTTAGGCCTGAAGCTGGTCGGGGGGATGGGAGTTCTTTGTTCTGTGATGACCTCGAGGTAAACTGCCACTAAGAAAATGGAATGGCTGCTGGAGGGCCTGCTTGGGGCTGAGGGAGATATGGGGCTTCTGTGGGGCCAGTTGACCCATGCCCTGGCCTGCAGACACTGTGGCAACAGCTGCCTCCAGAGTCCTGGAAACGTGGTAACCCTATTCTTGTTCATAGTTTGGCAGATCCGGAGGTGGTGGCAGCTCGGGAGGTGGCCACATCTTCAGCCCTGGTGCTCTGGGGACATGATGCAAAGCAAGGTGAGAGACCTCTGACCGTGGATCTGTGACTGGGTGAATGACTGTTGATGCCACATGTGAGGTCAGGTGATACATCACTGACATGGTTGTGGGCCCAGGTGAGTAACTATAAGCCCAAATGTGAGACAGGGTGAGTGATTATTAATACCAGATTGAAGCAAGGTGAGTAATCACCGCCCCTTGATATGGGATCATTTGAAGAGCTGCTCACCCCCAAATGTGGGCTGAGTAATTGACCATTAACACTGGATAAGGAGCTGGGTAAATGACCATCGATCATAGGTGTGGGGCCAACTGAGTGATTATTGACTCTGGATGTGGAGCAGGGACTGAGGACCTCATAAGCCTTATGTCTGAAAAGGCTCCGTGCCAGATAGTTTTTCTCTGCTCCCAGGGCCTACCACTTCTGCACCATGTGGCTTTCCTTGACTGCTTGTGGAAGCAGAAGTCAGAAGAGGAGGAGGAGGAAGAGGATGCATCTCTGGGTCCGTTGAAACCGTATTCTCCCAAAGAAGTTCCTATTGGAGAACAAACCACCAGAGCCCCACCTCAGCCATCCTCTGGTTCTGAGGGCTTCCTTAAGGCATCAGGGATCCCAGAGCAAATACTCACACAGCCCGTAAACCCTTCCAGATCCTTCCCTACCTTCCAGATCCTGACCAACCTACCTGTGAGGCACACGACAGCATCAGGAAGCCGCCTGCAGCAGAGAAAAAGCCAGCTCTTCTGGGGTCTCCCCTCTCTACACAGCGAATTCTTAGATGCCGCCCTAAAATTGTCTGTTGGTCCTTCTATCTTCTTCAACAAGTTTGCTTTTCTGCCTAAGCCCAATCTGCTGCTTCCCCAGTACTGCCCCTCAACCCAGCTTCCTACCCATCAAGTCCATACTATGCATGATCTGGAAGGGTTGGCCCCTGAGCCTCAGCTAACTCCCCCTCCATCTTCCCCTCCTGTCCTATCCCTAGCCCTCCATCTTAAGCCCTTTCCTGCAGGTCAGAAAGGAGTCTTATCTTACACTGAGGCACATGCACGGTTACTTAAACAACAGAGAGATGCCCCTGGGGTCCCCAAGGATCAAGCCCTGGATGCTCAGCCTGAACTCCAAAGAACCAGCCCCTCTAAGCTCCTCCCTTCATCTGAGACCTGGTGGGGGGTGCTACAGGACCCCAGCCTTCAACACCTCATTCAAGATTCACACCCTGCCTCTCTGCTGTATCCTTCTAGCCCTCTGGGAGTCCTGACGAGGTTTGAGCCTCCATGGAGAACTATGGGGCAAAATGAGGACCCCAAAGCTTCTGAGCCAGCAGTGTCAGCCCCTAGCCCAACCCCAGCCTCCCTGCCAGAACTCCAGGGAGTCAACCCTGTAGGAGACCTGTCTGGATCTGAGGCCCTCTGGGAAACCATGGGGCAAAGAGAGAACCCTCAGATCGCTAAGCCTCCAACCCTAACCCCTTGCGAACCCTTAGCCTCCATGACAGAGCCTCAAGGAGCAAGTCCCCTGGGAGTTCCACTTGGATATGACACTCAATGGAGAACCACAAAAGATAAAGAAAGCCTCCAAGCTTCTGAGCCCCTAATGCCAGCCCCCTGCCAATCCACAGTTTCTCTCTCAGAACCCCAAAAAGTCAACCCTGAAGGAGGACTTTCTTCACCTAAGGTTTTCTGGGGAAGCATGGGGCAAAAAGAGAATCCTCAGGCCTCTGAGTTTCCAGTGCCAGTCCTCCGCCTTCCCCCAGGCCCCAGGCCAGAACTCCATGGAGGTAGTACCTTGCGAGATCCATCTGGATATGAGGCCCAGTCGAGATGCAGAGAAAACTCAGAAAACCCCTGGGCTTTTCAGCCCACGTACTTGGACCTCAACCCATGCTCAGTTCCTGTGCCAGGGATCTATGGAACCAGTCTTGCATGTGTCCCATCAGGACCTGAGGCTCCATGGAAGGACATACAGAGAAGAGAAAATCTTTGGGTCTCTGCAGACACAGTTTCACCTCTCTGCCCTCCCTCAACTTCTCTGCCGGAGTCCACAGGAATGGGCCCCCAGGGAGTTCTGCCTGAGTCCAAAGCTTTGTGGGAGACCATAGGACAGAGACAGAACTTCTGGGCCCCTAAGTCTCCAGCCTCTGCATGCAGCCCACCTCTAGCTCCCCTTCTAAAGTCCCAGAGAATTAATCCCGTGGGAGGCCTCCCAGGATCAGAAGCTGTATGGAAGGACATTGCACATTCCAGGAATTTCTGGGCTGCTGAGCCTCCATCTCTGGTCCTCAGCCCACCCCCAGCTCTTGTACTGGAGTCTTTCAAAGTAAGCCCCATGGGGGTCCTGTTCGATTCTGAGGCTGTATGTGGGGACATACAAAGGAGAAAGAACTCCTGGGCCTCTGAGCTTCTAGCACGCAGCTTACCCCAAGACCCAAATGGAGCCAGCCCCCAGAGAATCCTGTCAGACTCTGGGCTTGTTAGGGAGGTCATGGAGCAGAAAGAGAACTGTTGTGATCCTGTGCCCCCAGTTAGGGACCCCAGTCCACCCCCAAACTCTGTGTCAAAGTCCCACATAATTGAGCCTATTGGAAATCAGTGGGACTATAAGCCTCAGGGGGAAGTAGCAGAGCAGAAAGAAAACTGCTGGGCCACTGAGCTTCCAGCCTCAGGCCCCAGCTCACACTCTGCCCCTCCACCAGAGCTGCACATTGACTCTGAATTCATGTGGAGAAGTGTGCAGCAAAGAGAGGTACCCCAGGGCTCCAGCCCTCCAGCAGTGGATGCCCTACAGCCAATGTTCTGGCCTCCCAGTGTAGCTGAAACTATGAAGATTAAGCCCACCCAGACTGACCTCTTCAAGGGAGAGATATTCCCAGAGGCTAAGGTAGAGACTCTACCCTCCCAGGAAGAGACTATCCCAGAGATGCCCACCCACCCTGGGGTCCAGGCCTGGCACTGGAGTAGAGAGTTGGAACTCAGGCTGAAAAATCTGCAGCAGAGCTCTGCTTCCAAATTCCCTGGCCTAAGTCAACCATTTTGCAGCTCTCCTGCCCCTAGCTCTACAACTCCAGGCTCCTGTGAACTCTCTTCCTGCCCCACACAGGACACTCATCCTCCCAACCCGTGTGCCTACTCTTCAAGTTGCTGTTTCCAAAAAGCTCAGGGCACAGTACCTCAGCTTGCCCAGGTCTCCCACTGTCATCACCCCCACTCCTTTTCCCAGCCTCAGTTACGAGGGGCTGGCAGGGCAAAACAAAGTTATCAGAAACAGGAGAGTGTGAAGAGGAAGATGGTGGTCCAGGTCCCCTCCCAGGAGTCATGTGTTCACTTGCAGGCTGTTGACAAGTGCCCAGGCCTACAAGAGCCCTCAAATCCTAAGGTTTCAGCTTCAGGCAAGAGGCAGAACAAGGCTTCAGCCCTACCTTCAACCAAAAAGAGAGAGCAACCCAAGAAATCCAGATCAGGAGACCACAGAAGAGGGGATGCAGGATTGGAGTCATCCACAGTCATAGGAAAGAGCCAACCCGCCCAGGCCCAAAGACTAGTGGAGGCCCCTGAAAGCAGACTTTCCCAAAGATCTCAGCACAGGGGCCAGAGCTCTCTACATACTGCTCTCCCTCAGCAGCTTCTCCCTAAGACTGAGGGTCTCCAGAATCAGCATGGGGCAGGGATGGGAGCTGGTGACGTGCCGAACCCTCAGCACTGTAAGCACTGTAAGAGGCATCTCTCCTCCCCCCCACCTCAGGCTCCACTTGCCAGGGGTCTCCAAAGAGTGTTAGCCAAGTTTCTGGGTACCCTTGGAACTCAGCCTACCAAATCCAATCAGCAGAGGAAAGGCTGGTAGTACTGGCACCCAGTAATCCAAGACCTGAAGCCAAACAAGACCATGTGAAGGTGGGGTGGGGGTGGGGAGAGACACAAGCAAAGGAAATTCTAATAAACTAGCTGAACTGGACAAATTTGTCTTCTCTGGAGTCTAAGGCATTGGGAGGGTCAGTTTCCTATTCATTTCTGCTGCAGTCATATCTCCTACAGAATCAGGTCCCAAAAGTAGAAAGCTTAGGATTTTGCAGGCCTAATGTTCTTTTCCAGCCCTTCACAGATGACCACATCTGGGGTTCACATGTGCCTACTCTACAACTGAGGCTGTAGGGCCAGGGGAGCACAGCTGAATGCTGCCCCTGAGAGGGAGAGAAGAAAAATGTATCCATTCACAGAGCACAGCTGGTTTGGGTCTAGGCAGCTGTCCTAGGTCGTGGTTATGGTCCCCTTCTCTACCCACTTGATCCACAAGTTCTCCACATTTCTTTCTGACCATTTCTTCTCAGCCCTTTGCTCTTTCTTCCCCTGGGTCAGCCCATCCATTCCCAAGGTCCCATCCACGAAAAGAAGTGAGCATCTTTTCATGTCCAGTGACCATCTAAGGAACCCTGGTGGCATAACGGTGAAGTGCTCAATTGCTAAATGAACAATTGGTGGTCCGAGCCCACTGGCTGTGCGAGAGAAAGACCTGGTGATCTCCTTCTGTAAAGATTACAGCCTAGGCGATTTGGTGCTTCCTTAAAAAGCTGGAAGTACCATACGATCCAGCAATCCTGCTCCTTGGAATATATCCTAGAGAAATAACAGCCGTCACACAAATAGATATATGTACACCCATGTTCAGTGCAGCACAGTTTATGATAGCAAAAAGATGGAAACAACCTAGGTGCCCATCAACGGACAAATGGATAAACAAATTATGGTATATTCACACAACGGAATACTACACAATGATAAAGAACAATGATGAATCCGTGAAACATAACATGGAGGAATCTGGAAGACATTATGCTGAGTGACTTTAGTCAGTCACAGAAGGACAAATATTGTATAAGACCACTATTATAAGAACTCAAGAAAAGGTTTAAACACAGAAGAAAACATTCTTTGATGGTTGTGAGGGTGGGGAAGGAGACAGAGGGTTACTCACTAACTAGAAAAAAACAAAAAAACCAAACCCATGGCTGTCGAGTTGATTCTGACTCATAGACAAGAATTATCTTAGGTGAAGGGAAGGACAGCACACACTACAGGGGAAGTCAGCACAACTGGACTAAACCAAAGCTAAGAAGTTTCCCGAATACAGCCAAACACTTCAACGGACAGAGTAGCAGGGGCGGCAGTCTGGGGACCGTGTTTCGGGGGACATCTAGGTCAACTGGCATAACAAAGTTTATTAAGAAAATGTTCTGCATCCTACTTTGGTGAGTGGCGTCTGGGGTCTTAAAAGCTAGTGAGCGGCCATCTAAGATGCACCAATTGGTCCCAACCCACCTGGAATAAAGGAGAATGAAGAACACCAAAGACACAAGGACAGTATTAGCCCAGGAGACAGAAAGGGCCACATAAACCAGAGACTGTATCAGCCTGAGACCAGAACTAGATGGTGCCTGGCTACTACCAATGACTGCCCTCTCTCAACAGAGAGTCCCTGATGGAGCAGGAGAAAAGTGGGGTGCAGAACTCAAAATTCTACTAAAAAGACCAGACTTAATGGTCTGACTGAGACTGGAGGTACCCCAGAAGACATGGCCCCTGGACTGTCAACCCAGAACTAAAATCATTCCCGAGGCCAACTCTTCAGACAAAGATTAGACTGGACTATGGGACATAAAATGATACTTGTGAAGAGTGTGCTTAGCTCAAGTAGATACATGAGACTAAATGGGCAGCTCCTGTCCAGAGGTGAGATGAAAAGGCAGACAGGGTCAGGAGCTGGTTGAATGGACACAGGAAAGGAGGAGTATGTTGTCACAGTATAGGGAGAGCAATTAGGGTCACATAACAATGTATGTATAAATTTTTGTAGGAAAGACTAACTTGAATGTCAAACTTTCACTTAAAGTACAACAATAAAATAAAATAAAAAAATTACAGCCTAGGAAACCCTATGGGGCAGTTCTACTCTATGTCACATGGGTTGCTATGAGTCAAAATCAACTAGACAGCACCCAAGTAACCATTCAGATTTCTTCTTCTATAACTGCCTGTTCATATCCTTTACCCTTTTTTCTATTGCACTGTTTGCTGGACACTGTATTAGCTCCCTATTGCTGCTGTAACAAATTACCATAAAACACTACAAATTAATTTTGTCATAAGTCTGACACAGGTCTTACTGGGCTAAAATCAAAGTGTTGGCAGGTCTTTCCTGTCTGTAGGGTCTACTAGGTAGGACTCATTCCTTGTCATTTCATTTTTATAGGTAGCTCACATTCCTTGGCTCATGGTTCCCTTCATTCAAAGCTAGCAAAGTTTAAAATTTTTACGTAGTTAAATCTATCAACATTTTCCTTTATGGCTCCAAAACCACTTTCTTCTGGCCCTTTTACAGTTTTGGGTATTAATGTTTGAATTGTTAATCTCATTTTCAAGTATGGTATGAGGTAGGAATCTAACTCCCCCCACCCCCCGCCATGGATGACTAGTTTTACCAATACGATTTTTTAAATAGAATATCTTAAACCCATTCCATTAAATGCCCTATTGCAAAACACAGGTCATTTGTAAGCACCCCTAGGCTTTAGATCCACATATCTAACAGCCTAATCTTCATCCCACATTCAGGCTGCCCAAAACTGACTTATTTTCCCATAAATGTGATCCTCCAGTGTACTTATTCACATCCACTAAACACCTAAACCAGAAACCTGTCACCCTTCTCACTTGTCCTCAATCCCCCATCTAATCCATCAACAAACCTTGTCTATACCTATGAAATGTATTTCAAATCCATCTTTACCTCTCCATTCCCATTATCATTTAGTCATTGTTATGGATTGAATTACGTCCCCCCAAAATATGTGTTGTAAACCCTAACCTCTGTGCCTGTGGTTATAATCCCATTTGGGAATGGGTTGTTAGGTGAATGAGGCAGGATTAGTGTAGGTTGTATTGTGAGTCAATCTCAAAATTTTGAGATCTGAAAGAGATTAAACAAGTGAGCAGAGCAGAGATGGGGGAAGAGAGATGCCAAGCCACAGGAAGACTGTCCAGGACCAGTTCAACGAGACAAAGACCTTCCTCCAGGGCCAACACAGAGAGAAAGCCTTCCCCTAAAGCCGGCACCCTGAATTTGGACTTCTAGCCTCCTAAAACTGTGAGGAAAAAAAATTTGTTAAAGCTATCCACTTGTGGTATTTGTTACAGCAGCCCTAGATAACTAAGACAGTCATCATTTCTCACCAAATTTGGTCTCCCTACTCCTTCTAATCCATCCTCTGCATGGCTGCAAGAATAAATTTTCACTGAAAATCATCTGACTTAATCTCTTCAATAGGTGTCATAAAAGTGAGAGTAAAGGGACACAACAGGTGTTAACTTTTGATTAGATATTGGTTTGGTCAAAAAGTGTGTAAATGACGCATTTGGGTCATTTGGGAAAACTGGGAAAAGAGCATGAAAATTTACTGAAATGGATAGGTAGAGATTGACTAAAAAAAGTTATAAAGCAGTATGATTTCATTTTGATTTAAAAAGTGCCACACGTACATAGACACATTCACACAAATACCCAGAAAAAGATCCAGAAGATATGCACTGAAGTTATTAAAAGTGAGGATCTCGAGAGACTCCGGCAAGATGGCGGTCTAGGCAGAAGCACCAGGCCGTCCCTCCAC